GCGAAATAAATTTTTCATAGTCTATGAATTTTCTTTTTCAGATTAAAAATAAAAAATAAAATAAATAGTAAATAAATAAATCAAAAATAAAAGTAAAATCAATTATTTTATCACTTATTTTTGTATTTAAATAATTGAATTCTCGTTCAACTTTTTGATAAAAATTAATTTGAAAAAGAATTTTAGTTAAAGTTTCAGAAAATATTTGAAAAATTGCAGTTCTTATTTTTAGAAATACATTAAATTTCAAAAGGTTTCACATTAAAAGTATTTTGAAATTTTAACTTCTGCTGGACAAATGAACAAGTATTTAAAAATTAATTAAACAAAAATTAATAAAATTTGAACAATTTTATTCAGAAATTCTAAAAAATAATTAACTTTTGAAAAAGTTGCAGTTATAATTTTTAGAAATAATTGAATTTCAAAATGTTTTACATTGAAATTAATTCAAATTTTAATTAAAATAAATAACAATAAGTGTTTAAATTTTCTTTTAACAAAAATTATTGAATATTTGAATAATTTTTTGTAGAAATTCTAGAAAAATTAAGTTTTTGAAAAATTGTAATTAAATCTCGAATTAAATTTTTTTTTGAAGATAATTGAATTCGCAAAAATAATTAAAAAAATTAAAGCAATCAAAAGTTTTGTAAAATTTTATTAAAATAAATTTTTATACTTGAAAGAATTTAATTTTATTCCTTCTGAAAATTATTTTGAAATTTTTTTTGTTTTTTATTTTACATTTATTGTAAAGTTTGTATACCTAACAATGGGCGGTAAAATATTTTTTTAGGTATATTAGTTATTTTTACTATTTTTAATACTGTAAATTAAATAAATATTTATTTATTTACTTATAACATAATAATACACGGATAACAAAAAATTTATTATAAATAAACAAATAAATAAATAAATAAATAAAAAATCACTGAAAAAGAAGAAATAATTTTTACTTTTCTCTCGCAAGCCACTCATATAAAATAAATATGTTTCTATGTCGTCCAAGGAAATGTTTTATTCAAAAATAAAACATTCGCCAAATAAAAAAGAATAATCAGTCATTTTCTCTCCATTTTTCAGCGCATGTTTTTAAACTTTAAAAAGTAACTCGCTGTCGAATTTTTCTTTTTACTTTGAGAGCGCGTCAGCTTGAGGGGGGAAAAAAACCGCATATGAAAATGTTAAAGAAAGAAAGAAAAGAGAAAAAAAAAGAAACAAAAAGTATAAAGCTCTTTACGGTTTCAAAGCATGCGCCTGGAAAACAAAAAAAAAGAAGAAAAAGAAAAAGAGAAAAATGGAAATAAAGAAAGAAAAAAAGAGAACAGGTTTTTGTCACTTTTTTCAGATTTCCTCAGAAGGCTGAGAAGCATCATTTCTCTGAGTTAGCTAGCAGAAGGAAAGTGGTTTCCGGTACGCCTCGTAATGAGTCATTTCCGTCCCTTCATCTCTCTATTTCTGCAATTCTGTCTCGAGCCAACCCATCTCGACCACCTTCACCGGAACTCTTTGGTTGCTCTCGAATATTACCGACTAAATGTATTTCTACGGAGGTGTGACATTTCAAAATTTATATACATATAGATATATAGAAATGCATAGGAAGCAGGAAAGAAAAATCCATCATGTTTCTTCACTTCCGTCCATTTCGCAAAATTCAATTATTTCGCTCGAATTATATTCTAAATGTAAAGGATCAAATTTTCCCTTCCCCTCTTTTTCTCTTTTTTTTAATTGTAATAAGAGGGTTAGGATACAAAAATTCGATTTTCTATCACCCTCATTTATTTATTATTTTATTTATTTAATTATTAATTATTTATTTAGCTTTAAAATAAAAATTCATTTTTTTTACGAAATTGATCTAATTTTTTTTAGAAAAAAGGATTTTTTCCCCAAAATTTCAAAAAAAATTCTAACAGTACTTTTTTGAAAATTTAAATGCTTTTCCTTCATTTCCATATTATAGGAAATTATTTTGAAATTTTTTAGTGAGAATTCACTTTAAAAATTTTTAGATTTACAATGGAAAAAAATTTCGGCATAATTTTCTCCAAAAAAAGGAAAAACTTGGAAAATTATTAGAAAAATAATTTTTTCTCTCTATTTTTCTCGCTCAAACTGGAAATAATTCTGAAAAATTTTGTAAAAAACATTATTTCCAAAAAAAAAAAAAATTGAAATTTATTTCATAAGCTTCGCGTAAAAACTTCCTGAGAAAATGGATTATTTTTATAAAAAAAGTTCAGAAATAAATTCCAAATTCTGTTGCGAAAATATTTTTTAAAATTTTTGAGAAAATTATTATTTCCAAGCAAAATTGAAATTTATTTCATACACTTGGAAAAACTTCCTGAGAAAATGGACTTTTTCAAAAAAAAAAAAAATTTTAAGAAATAATTCGCAAATTTTGTTGCTGAAATATTTCCAAATTATTTGAGAAAATTATTATATTTCCAAACAAAATTGAAATTTATTTCATGGGTACACTTGGAAAAATTTCCTGAAGAAAATGTATTTTTTAAAAAAAGTTAAGGAACAAATTCAAAATTCTGTTGCGGAAATATTTTTCTAAAATTTGGTAAAAAAAACATTATTTACATACAAAATTGAAATTTATTTTATAAATTTGGAAACATTTCTTGAGATAATGAATTTTTTTTTAAAGAAATTAAGAAATAAATTACAAATTCTCTTGTGGAAATATTTCCAAATTTTTTGAGAAAATCGTTATATTTCCCAACAAAATTGAAATTTATTTCATAAACTTGGAAAAATTCCCTGAGAAAATGTATTTAAAAAAAAAACTTAATATTTTTAAATATTTTGAGAAAATAGTTATTTTTTAAATCAAAATTGAAATTTATTTCATAAACTTGTCAAAATTTCATATAAAAATTAGAAAAAGTTAGAAAAGTTAGAAATTTCTCAATTTTCCATAAACGTTCTTAAAGCAACTCTTATAAAATTCAATTATTTTGGGAATTTTTAAATAAAATTATTCATTAAATAATTTCTAAGTAATAATTGTAGGATAAATCTTTAAGAATTAAATTATTTTAAAGAAATTCAATTTCATATTTTGTAAAGTTCAATTATTGTCAAAAACGTAAAAATAAAAGCAAGTTTAAGGTTTTGAATTAAAATTCGTAGTGATTTCAAAATAATAATAATTAATTGTTAGCAGAATTTAAATAACATTTTCAATTTTTTTAAAATTAATTTTCAAGTTATTTTAAACTTTCTTTAAATTTATTTTGAATTTATTTTGAATTTATTTTTAGATTATTTTGAATTCATTTTGGTTTTGAGATTATTTTAAATTTATTTTAAATTAATTTTAAGTTTATTTTGCATTTATTTTAATTTTGAGAATATTTTTTATTTATTTTAAATTAATTTTGAGTTTATTTTGTATTTATATTGATTTTGAGATTATTTTGAATTAATTTTCAATTTGTTTTAAATTAATTTTAAACTTTCTCTAAATTTATTTTGAATTTATTTTGAGTTTTATTTTTAATTTTACATTATTTTGAATTTATTTTGCATTAATTTTTATTTTAAACTTTCTTTAAATTTATTTTGAATTAATTTTGAGTTTATTTTGCATTTATTTTGATTTTGTAAATATTTTGAATTCATTCTAAATTAATTTTGAGTTTATTTTGCATTTATTTTTATTTTGAGATTATTTTGAATTAATTTTGAATTTATTTTAAATTAATTTTGAGTTTATTCTAAATTTATTTTGAATTTATTTTGAATTAATTTTGGGTTTATTTTAAATTTATTTTCAATTTGTACTAAATTTATTTTTAAATTCGGGGGTTAAATGAACAATTTTTCGGGCGAATTGTTAAAAAAACAGAACTCAGTGCGCATGCGTGGAGATTTCCCCCTCCACTAATTCCAACAAGGACCAATAGTTTTCGAGTATAGAAGACGTGAGGGCGTGGCTTAATCATATCACATAAATAAGGCATTTGACTTTCAACATTTTCGTTATTCGACTCTCTAGAGAAATAAATCGAGGTAAATGTTTGATTTTTAAAATTGTTCTGCGCTTTCTATTAGTGAAATAAAGTTTTGTAAATAAAGCGTAAAAATATTGAGGAGAGAAAACGAGAACGTAAAAGCCTAATAATTCAATTTAATTTTTTAATTATCTAATTTTTCCATATTTACTAAGTACTATTTAATATATTTTTTCCTTTTTAATGTTCACTATAGTTTCTACTTCTGTTTTCAATTTAAATTTATTTCATTTGATTTATTATTTTATTATATTTATTATTCTTTTCAATTTATTACATACATACCTTATTCAATTCAACTTTTTATTCAACTTTTTCATTTATTGCTTCCTCATAGAGGAAGAATTGTATTTATTAATTTCTGAATTAATTTATTATATTTTCTTTAAAGTAAAATTTCTCAATATAAATCAACGATATTTTAGTCTTTTGCCATGTAAATTAATTAATAAAAATTGATTTTGGTTTTAAATTAAACACAGAAAAATGTAACAAATTGAAATTGAGTAAGTAAATTAAAATAATTAATTTATTCGAATTGTTCGAAATATATCCTTCCATTATTTTATTAGTAATATTTTTTTAAACAATCAAAGGAAGGTAAAGAAAAATAATTACATCTACAAATTTTTATTACGTCATGTAATAAATAATTAATTATTATTAATTAATTAAATGATAAAGAAAAAAGAGGGAAAAAAGGAAATGTTGTTTGGAAAAAGATGTAAATAATTTTAATTTAATAAAAAATTAATTTGAACAATTATTTTGTGAAATAAAAAAATATATCTAATTAGTTGGTAAAATACATATTTTTTGTCCTATAAATGTTCATGTGATGAATATATTGATAATGCAAAAAGTTTACCATAATGGAAAATTTATAGGAGAGTGAAGGAATGAAATATATAATAATGTAGAGTCATAGAGTGTGATAATGTAAATGGAAAAGCTTACTTATGGCAACGCAAAACTTCCAGAGTCCACTGTACGTTAGTCGACTATCTGGCTCGACGGATGAGTTTGCGGATGGTGATCTCGGTAACTTCTCTTCCGTCAGCAACCACTCACCGGTTGAGATAGCACCTGTGACAACAACCAATGAAAGTAGAGCTGAAATTCCAGAAGTGATACCAAATCCAGTACTGCTGCCGCCAGTACTATTTGGATTTCCACAGTAGCAACAGCACCACCACCAGTAGCAACACCAGCGAGACATCACGTGTCACCCAGGCCTCGTCGGGGCATCACAATACACTAAAAACATTTTAATTAATTATTTAATTAATTCATTAATTATAAACAATTTACATTTTTGTCAATACGAAACTTTTCTCTAAATTTGAATTATTAAAAATGTTTAGTAACTCAATTTAATGACTTCCATTTTCCTTTGACTTTTCTTATTTTTTGTTTTTTAATTAGTAAATTTTACTAATAAATAGTGATTTCTACTAATTTACTAGTAAAATTTACAATAAATCCAAAAGCAAAAAGTCAATCACTAATTTGAATTAGTAAACTCCTTTACTAATTCAATTTTTGGAGATTAAACACGCGTGTTTACTTCGCATTATTTTTAAATAATAATTATTTAAGTATTAAGTTAAATGAATTCGATAATATTTAATTTATTAAATTTTTATTTACTTTATTAAAATTATTTATAATTTTTCTAAAAAATTTTTAAATCTTTCAAATTTTATTATTATTTTATCTTTACTTAACTGATTTACACTTTTTTGTTATAATTAATAAAAATTTTACTTTTACCTAAGTATAAAAAATAATTTCATCAAATAAAATTTTAATTAGTAAAAACCATTTGACAATTTAGGACAATTTTTTTTGTTGAAAAATAATTTTATTATAATTTTTATTTTGTAAAAAGTTTTATAATCTAATACAGATGTTTTTATTTAAAAATAATTTCATAGTAATTACAATTTTAGTTGGTGAAAAAAATTCAAAACAATCAAAAACAGTTTCTCTATTATTGCAACTAAATAACTTTGGAGAAACCATAATAATTGAATAGTTGTATAATTAATAATTATTAAATAAAAAAAAAAATAATTAAATATAATAGAGATAAATTTTTTAGCAGTTAATAAAAATGTCAAAAAATTTAATGAAAATAATTAAATTGAATAGAATTAATTTCTATATAATAAAAAATAATAGAAATTACTGAAAATAATTAAATTTGTTAGAAATAATTTTTACAGATGAATATTGAATTCAATTAAAATATTAAATTGAATATTGAAATTGAATATTGCATTCAATTGAATTGAATATTGAAATTGAATAATGAATTCAATTGAATTAAAAAATTGAAATTGAATATTGAATTGACCATTGAATTAAAAAATTAGGAATTAAAAAAGAAATTAAAGTTAATTCAGATAATATTTAAAATTGAATATTGAATTGGATTGAACTTTGCATTAAACTGAATTGAATATTAAATTGAATTTGAATATAGAATTGAAAAATTATTAACCAAAAAAGTAATTAAAGTTACTTGAAGTAGCATTTAAAATTGAATTGGATTGAACTTTGAATTAAATATTAAATTGAATATAGAATTGAATTTTGAATCGAATTCAATAATTATCGAATAAAAAAAGTAATTAAAGTTAATTGAACTAATTTTTAAAATTGAATATTAAATTGAATATTCAATTTAATTATTTAATTGAATATCGGATAGAATATTGTATTAAATTGAATGTAGAATTGAATTTTGAATCAAATTGAATAATTATTGAATAAAAAAAGCAATCAAAGTTAATTGAAATAATTTTTAAAATTAAATATTAAATTGAATTGAATTGAATTGAATATTGAATTGAATTAAATTCAATTAATTTGAATTAATTTGAATTAATTTGAATAAAATTGAATATAGAATGAACATTGAATTGAATATTGAATCGAATTGAATTTAATATTGAATTTAATTATTTAATTGAATATCGAATAGAATATTGAATTGAATTGAATTGAATTAAATTGAATATAAAATTGAATTGAAATGAACATTGAATTGAATGTAGAATTGAATTTTAAATCGAATTGATTCAAATATAGAATTGAATTTTGAATCAAATTGAATAATTATTGAATAAAAAAAGCAATCAAAGTTAATTGAAATAATTTTTAAAATTAAATATTAAATTAAATTAAATTGAATATTGAATTAAATTAAATTGACAATTGAATTAAATTGAATTATTGAATATTGAATCAAATTATTTATTATTGATTTTAATTGAATATTGAATTAAATTATTGAATATGGATTCGAATTGAATAATCATGAGGTAGAAAAAAGTAGTAGAAATAACTTTTAAATACCAAAAAAAGAATAATAAAATGCAATATAAAACAATGAACTTTAACAGAAATAATGTTCAAAGCCCAAATAGTTTTTCTAAGGATATCAAATTGAGACAAAAAACGAATCAAAAATGTTGTTTCGCAACATTTTTGATTCGTTTTTTGTCTCAATTCGATATCCTCAGAAAAAATGTGATAATTATACAAGTCGAGTTCAATAAAAAAAAAAGAAAGAAAAAGATCAATGCGCAAATATGTAATAATTTTCAAATTATCGACATACAAATGACTAATTTATTTATGGATAATTTAAAAAATAAAAAGAAAAATAGAACACGAAAAGAGAAAATGTCGAATAAATGGAAAAATATTTGACTAAATTTGATTTATGAAATAGTGGAATTTTCAGTGCAAAGTATCTCTCCTCGTGCACTTTTTGCCAGTATATGAGAAGCGAGAACTTCATCTTTCAAGATTGAGGATTCTTTTCCTTTATTACCTTATCGAACCGAAAGTGCTTCGTCGACGACGTCGCTTTAAGTTATCAGCCAGACGTTTTCGTCACTGAGGGTAATATCACAGGAACGTTACTTGGTAATTTTCTTTCCAACCTAAAGTTATGAAAAAAGTTTTCACTGTAAAATTTCATTTTATATATATATTAAAAAAAGTACATACAATTTTTTATGACTCAAATAAAGAATATGTATAATTGAACAATTAGAGAAGAAATGACGTTTGTCTTTGCAATTAATTACCATATTGTAAATTATTACCATATTATTAACATATTGTTACCATATTATTACCATATTATTACCATATTATTACCATTAATTATTTATTATTATTGTCATTATAATTGTTACTATTATAATTTATTTAATATAATTATATTTTTATTTCATTTTTATTTAAAATAGAAAATCTAAAGAGAGAACAAATTTTCAGTTCTGCTATTTATAAACAAAAAAAGTACTTATAATTATATTTAATGTAATATTATTATATTTCGCAAAAAAATTAAAAAAATTAAAAAATGCGCAACTATGTTGCAACTGCACTCTCGCATAATTAGTTATAACATATGTTTGTTTGCATTAGGAGAAACTTGAAAGGCAAATCAACAAAAGCTCAAGTTATATTTCATTGTTAATTTCAGAAAGCTAAAGGTCTACTTTGTATATATAGTAATTACGAAAACTACGCAGATGTTAATACAAAGTTTCTAACCGCAAGTGTAAATTCTGCGCATGACTGTCCTCAAACTTTCGCTGAGAGAAAAAGCGTTTCCAAGTATCATTAAGCTACCTCTCTCTCTCTCTCTCTCTCTTTCTCTCTCTCTCTCTCTTTTGAGTTTCGCGTGCCTCCTTGAAACAGAAGCAAAAAAAAAAAAAAAACTCTAAATAAGAAAAAGCAGCCAACTTTTGCTAATATATATTACTATATATATGCTTCTTTTTTATTCTTCACAAATAAGTACAAACTTACAAAATAATGTAAACAAAAAAGTTCAATTTGATTTTAATCGTGGTACATTTTTGTCATTTTGTAAAATTTAATTTGAGATAAGTTTGTTATTATTTTTCTTTTTGAAATTAGAGGAAATTTATTATTATTTTTATTATTCAAATTAATTATCTCTTGGGTAATTATGCAGAAGAAGAACTTTTTACAATTTTAGAGATAAATTACCATATCTTGTTTGTTTAATTATTCCACCAATGATTATATTTTGTTTATTTATTGAAGCAATGATTATATTTTATTTGTTTATTAAAGCAATTATTATTTTTTATTTTGGTATTTTTGGTTATTTTTTTTTATTTTGGTCGCACTAAGAAAAAAGATATTGAAACATTTCAATAATTCATTTATTCAATTAATGATTTATTGTTAATAAATGAAAAATAATATACTTTTTGGATAGAAACAAAATATATTGTCTGAGTATGATAACCTTTTACTACTGGCAAATTAAAGAACTAGAGACTAGTGAGACAAATGTCTGACTAAACCTACTGTTTACTACTTAAAAGTACAAGAAAAAGAGATTTGTAAACAAAATAAAAAATAAAAAACGATTTATTACCGATGTGAAATTTTCTCTGATTCAAAATTCTTCTGTCTGACTAAAAATTGTTTTACTACTGATACCCGGATACTTAAGAAAATACTTCGTATGACTAAAATGGTCTTGTACTACTTAGACACACTTGTCTCTCTTGCATACATTCTTACAATTTTTCCTCTTCTCTTCACAGTAAATGACAAATTATAATAATTTACCAGTGAAAAAGGTATGTAAATTTAAGTCAGACGAGTAATTTCTTCCCCTCCCCCCTCCAAAAATAAGAAGAGAATAAGTGTTTCAGGGAATATTTATTTCACAATAATAAATGATTTTAACTCTCAAAAATTAAGCTGGTATTCTATATTTATTATTTTTTTAATTTAAATTTATTTTTATTATTACTTTTATTAAAAATATTGGTATCAGTAGTAAGCATTCCATTTGGTCAAACAATTTACCTTTTTCCCTTAAAAATATTGGTATCAGTAGTAAAAATTCGATTTGGTCTGTCAATTTACTTGTTTCCCTTAAAAATATTGGTATCAGTAGTAAAAATTTGATTTGGTCGGATTTTTCCCTTAAAAATATTTGTATCAGTAGTAAAAACTTGTTTTGGTCAGACAATTAGTTGTTTACCCTTTAAAAAATTGGTATCAGTAGTAAAAATTCGATTTTGTCAGACTATTTACCTTTTTCTCTTAAAAATATTGTTATCAGTAGTAAAAAAAGAGTTTGGTCAGACAATTTACTTTTTATGATCAAAACTAATTCTATCAGTAGTAAAGATTAGTTTTGGTCAGACAAATATGCATTTTACCCTTCGAAATATTGGTATCAGTAGTAAAAATTCGATTTGGTCAGCCAATTTACTTTTTATAATCAAAACTTATTACATCAGTAGTAAAAATTAGTTTTGGTCAGACAAATTGTATTTTACGCTTAAAAATTAATGGTATCAGTGGTAAAAAATCGTTTTAGTCAGACAATTAGTTGTTTACTCTTAGGGGAGAGTGGGGCAAAATGGGGTACCTTTTTGAAATTGGCTGTTTACAGAGAACCAAAAGAAAAAATCGATTCAGCTAAACTTCAGAATTCTTCTTTGTACACTTAGCTTTGAGGAAATTATGATAATAGCGAAGAAAAAAATTTTTGAAAGAACTTATATCGTATTTTCTAAGAAAGTGCTAAAATCCCATTTTGCCCCACCCGTGGGGCAAAATGGGGTGGCATCAAATAACTATACAAAACATTGAGTATTTTTTCAAAATTCATTAAATTCTTGTTGTAAGAGATTATAAATACAAACAAAAAGTAGGATTCTTTATTATTATGAAAAAACAAGTAATATTTATTAGAATTTAACAAAAAAACATGGATATTGCAAAATATCAATATATCGATAATGAATCATCGATAGTATAAATGCCTCGAAGCAAAAATATCGATTCTTCTGCAGGAAACCTTTAAATATGCATAATATAATGTTTTTAAATAGTTTTAATGAATCGGCGTAGCTTCCGGCATGCCCCACACTTAGGTACCCCATTCTGCCCCACACTGCATACTAAAACAAAATGCAATGTTTACAAGTTATTGTAAACAATTAAACAATCTATTCTATTGGAAATCACTCTAAAATAAGTACTGAAAAAGATCCCACACTTGCCAAATTAAATGCATTATCCCAAAAAGTTTGGAGAGCAATTTAATTTTGAAAAAAATTCATATTTTTTTTGCTTAAAACTTAAAAGTTGTATAACTTTCAAAAAAAAATTTTCTTTGGAGTGTCTTCATAATTAATAACAGTTTCTTATCAACATGAATGATATATGTCGAGGAAAAAAAAATTAAAAGTTCCTATCATGGAAAAACAGAGGTACCCCATTTGACCCGCCTACCCCATTTTGCCCCACTCTCCCCTAAATATAATGGTCACAGTGGTAAAAATTTATTTTTAAAATTAAAAAATATTATTATCAGTGGTTTTAAACACCTTTTTTGTCAGATAGTTCACTTTTTAGGCTAAAAAGTATTTGTATCAGTAGTAAAAATTCGTTTTGATAAAAAAATTTAGTTTTTACACTTAGAAATGTTGGTATCAGTAGTAAAAACTCGATTTGTTCAGATAATTTACTTGTTTCCCTTAAAAATATTGGTATCAGTAGTAAAAATTTGATTTGGTCAGACTTTTCCCTTAAAAATATTGGTATCAGTAGTAAAAACTCGTTTTGATCAGACAATTAATTTTTTATTCCTAAAAATACTGGTAGCAATAGTAAAAATTCGTTTTAGTCAGACAATAGCGTGAGAAATTCTGAAAAAAATCCATTTACAGTAGTAAAAATTTGTTTAAGTCAGACGATTTATTTTTTATCTATAAAAAATTTTTATGTCAATTATTTTTATTAAAAATAATTTATTTATTTATTTTATTCATTTTATTTACTTTAATTACTTCTAAATTTTACTATTTATTCTTATTCGCAGTGATATACTTTTCGTTTTATTATTGTCAGAGAAAATTGTCGGGCAAATATTGTCTATAACCAATAAAATGGATATTTAATACAGTCGGTTATTAATTTACTCGAGCAGAAAATTGTATATTTATATAATAAAAGAGAAGAAGAAGAAGAAGAAAATAAGGAAAAAAAATTTCTCATAAAATAATTTATATAGAGTGAATATCTATATATTTATATAAATAAAAGAAACCTTATAATCTTTTTCTGTATCAAATTGCCCTCCCATTCAAATATACATATATATAAAGTGTGAGCGCGATTTCATTGATTTTAAATTAAGAACTTTGTGGTTTTCAGGTCCATTCTTTTCAATGTAACATATATATCGATTCCATTGACCAATCTCATTGCACCACTTCAAAAGTAAAAAGTTTTTTCTTCGTAAAACTTTCGCGAACCTATGAACCTTCTATTAGGAAAGGGTTTGTCTTGAATGTGAAAATAATGATACTTCAATTTATTTTATTTCTCTCGAGCATCATTCAATCGTTCTACTTCTTTACTATTATTATTATCATTATTATTACTATTATTATTATTATTATTTTTATTATTATTATAATAGTCTTACTATTATTATTATTATTATTTTTGCTATTGCTATTGTTATTACTATTATTATTACTATAAATATTGTTAATACTATTATTGTTATTACATAATATTACAATATTACAATTACAATCCAAAAAACAATAACATCTTATATATTACATAATATTATTATTATTATTATTATTATTATTATTATTATTATTATTATTAACACATTTTATACATATTTTTAATGGCAGAAGTAAATTAATAATTATTTATATTGTCAGAAAGTGTCAAAGAATTTGTAACTTTAGAGTTGATGGTAAAATTGATTTTTTTACTCTAGGGAATAAAGTAACATTTTTTTAAACTAAGGGTAAAATTAATTACCTTTATCCTCTGGAAGAAAACCTTTTTATTCTAGAGAGTAAATACCTCTCTTAGAGAGCAAATCAACTATTTTTAACGATAAGCAAAGAAGGAGCCTTTTTAACACTAGGGAGTAAAATAGTAGCTTTTCTCCCCAGATAAAAAATGAAAAAATTCTAATTTATAGTATTAATAACAATAATATTATTTCGGCATACATAAGTGTACCATGAAAAATATTATTTACACTCAGTAATTTTTAAATCCAAAATATACAAAAACTAATAAAATTTTCATTTTTATTTTTCTTATAAAATAAAATTATTTTCATGAATAAAATAAAAAAATAAAAATAAAATACTTTTTATACTCAGTAATTTTTAAATTTAAAATATATAAGAACTTGAAAAAATTTCCTCTCATATTTCCCACAGAAAATAAAATTGAAAAATTGAACATTTAATCCTGATGAAATTTTTCTGTTTCTTTTTTTTTTTCTTTGCAAATTTCTATTTAAGATAATCCATGAATTGGGAGAAAAAGAGATATGGTCCTCTTGACTTTTTCATTTGAAATTACTATTCCACCATTTTTCCTTTTCTTTCATTTCCCTCCTATCGCCCCCCTCGTTCTCTCCCCCCGCCTCACGGCCCACCATTCACTGACTACTCTTCACTTTTCACACCGTTCTTAACCTCAGCAACTTCTAGCTTTATCCCTTTGGGGATTATTGAGCTTCGAGTCCTGACCTGACGATCATTTCATCGCGGTTCAGTAAAATCGATCAAAAGAAGAAAAAGAAATAGTAAATTGCATCTTGAAATTGTAAAGAAAAAAAAAATCACCATAAAGTTCAAAGTGTCGGCGAACGTGCAAAAAAAAATGTATTATATGGATTTCAATTGTTCTCATTATTTTCTTTTTCTCTATTTTCTTCCTCTATTGGAATTTTAAATTCTAACAATTTCTAATTCATAAAATAAAATGTGCGTATTTTTAAGTTTCAGACTATTAATTTTTTAAGAAGGAGAAATTTTTCTATTCCACTTCTTTAATTTAAAAAATTTTTGAATTTATCTTATTCTATATTTAAAAAAAAAA